CTAAAACCATTTTTTTCTCTTATTTTCCTCGTTTTTATTTTTTATTAACTTTTCTCTTTTTAAAGTAAAATAGTAATTTTTTTAACTTTGCATTTCCTATACACGCATATGTATGTATATACATCAAATAAACGGGTTACATAACTATAGATACAAATATAAACTCACATACATATACACATACATATGTGCACATTCGAACTCTATTTTTAGCAATAGCAATCAATAATTGAAAATAAATATTGCATTTTATATTTTGTATGTGTATACCTAATACATGAAAAAATAATATAAATATAAATAAGAATAGCTGTTTCAAAAAATTTTAAAATTCTCCAATCTCTTATTGCAGTTTAGTAAGAGCTGTATGTATGTAACAATCAGGCGTCCCAATCCTGCACTCGATATTCAAAAACATCGAAATGATCAACATTCATTGATTTTTTTTTGAAAAGAATTATTAACTCTGCAATGAAACTCACTAACAACCGACTGTATAAAATTTTCTCGAGTGTTTACACAGGCAATTTTTTGTAATATTAATTGCCAATTAATTTATCGAAATGCTTAAATAACTGGCTATGTGAATAAAATTTTTCTGTCTTTTTTATCATCTTTCATTCTGTATATTATAAAAAAATGTTAAAAAAATTCTTGAGTTCCCTTAAAGCTAAGTATGTATTCAACTGGAACAAAAAAGTCGGTAATGGTCAGCACATAATCGACCTCATTGCAAAATGTTTAGTTTAGGGAAAGCGTTTACTAAATTTTAAGGATTTTATTAATGTTAAAAACTATTCCATTCAATTTTTAAGGACACTAACTTTTTGTTAACATTCCTCGAAAATGTAAATTTAGCTTTTAGTAGAGTAGAGTTTTGTGCTGAATTCTCTGAAAATTTCGCCAGTTTCGGCAACAACCAGAATTGAAATATTAAAGTGCAACAAGTTCCATGAATTCGTTCCGTAGATATGGTAAAAAATGTAAAATCAGTCCGTAGTTCGGTTTCGGAACTCCTATATAAAATTTTATTAAAATCAAATCAGCTGAACTTGAGATATACGCTTGCACACACAGGCCGACAGACAGATTAATATACCTCTGGAGATACGTTCCCATCGAAAACTCGACATTCGAACATCCCTGATTTGACATCCCTTATTGTTTGCAATGCGTAAAATTACTTTTGTAAGTATTTACCACAGGATATGTATTTCGTGAGAAAAATCAAAAATATTCGAAAATGTTATGAAAATGATGAAATTTTAAAAAGAAAAATCTGCTTACTTCTAGACTTTCATATAGAGAGAATTTATTTACTAAAACGTCTATTTTTTAAGTTGGGACCTCTGGTGCCAATATAAGAGAAAATTGGTTTTTGGAAGTTAAATTTTTTCTTCTTTTAACCGGCATTTTGCTTATTTTTTTATTGCTTCGTTTGTTTTTGTTATCTTCTTCTTTGCCATAAAAGCTGCTATGGATACTATTTTTTTTTTCTTACATAGTCTTATGTTAATAAGTTTTATAATTTAAGTATTTTTTTCTAAACTTTTAAATATACACACAAACATACAATGTATACAAGTTTAAAATCTGGTTTTTTATCTGGTAAGTTTTTTTTAAGTAGAAGATGAATAATAAAATGAAAATCAATTATAAGTTGATTCCAAAATAGTAAAAACTTGTTAACTGTTCAATTTTGCTCAACTACTTATAATTTTTTTTACTTATTTTTTAATACTAACTTGTGGGCTAATATAATTTTTGTTATTAAAATAATTATAACAAAAAAATAAAAGTTTTCGAGCAATCAACTTTTTTTTTCTTCTTACATTGTACAAAATAAAATTTTATTCATAGCATTTTAATGGCCAATTTTGTAGTTTTGTACAAATATTGATGTAAATAAGTAAGTAATTTGAATTCAAAAATAATTTAAAAAATTTTTTTTTTTTTTTCAGAACCAAATGTATTTTGATATCTTTGTATGTACATTATAATTGAATACTCCTACAACACCAGTTTTATAATTTTAAATCTAGATTGATTCAGAATTTCCAATCTTGTATATTCAACTTTTATTTATGTTTATTGTTTTCTGTATTTTTTTCTTTTTTAAATGCTTATCGAATAACATGTAAATTGAGACATTAAAATTCGAATTTTAATAATATTCTCAAAGAAACAAAAAAACAAAAATATAAAAATATTCAATAAACCAATTCCTGCAGTAAGTCCAAAACTTCTAAGAACTACGATGGATGACAAATTGTTACAAGTGAAATTTGGTCAATTTAAAAATTTGAAATCATTTTTTTAATCTCAAGTTTCCTTTCTGATCAGTTTCTGAAATGTACCTGACATTTTCAAATTTTTGATCAATAATTTCAACATTAGTTTTTATCTGCCTTTTATAATTTGCAACCGAGTTTAATGAATTTTTTATACTTTTTTTACAATTTCTTTTCATACTACTTAAATCTGTCCAGCTGGCTGTCCAATATAAAAAAAGCATGATTTTTCCAAAGCTGATGTTCGAATTAACCATTTCAAATTAACAGAACGTTATCAAACATCATTCATACATTTTGTTCCGTACGGTAAAATTTGATGAGATGTAAAACATTAAAACTCGTATTGTTACAGAAATTCAATGATCTCGAACTCTTTTATAATATAAATTTAGGAAACAATTTCTAATGTCTAAATCCAGCCTTATACAAATTTAAATTTAAACTCATCGTGCTAGAAAAGTGGTCGTCGAACACGTGGTATAGTGTTTGATTCTATATTAGTATTTAAAATTATTTCTGAACCCAAAATTAGAGTCTTTTTAAAATTATTAAAATTCGTATTGTACTTTTAATAGTATTACAGTGTTGGTAACAATAAATTTAATGTTTTTTTAATGTCAATTAATATGACACTTTCAATTTTGAATTTTCATATTTATCATACTTATTTGATTGTTTTCATTTATCACTCAGCTGATTATGCAAATAACTATTTCATATTTCATTTTTTTCTTTTTGTTTTTTATTGTTTGTTTATTGAAAATTTTTTATTGAAAATATTTTCGCTCGCTTTTTATTTCTGAGCTTAAATCTCGAATATTTTGTTTAACTTTTTTTTCTTTGTTTTGCATATTTTAATAATACTGTCATACAAAATGGTAAGTTTTTTTGTAATTTAAATATACAAGTAAATGTTTACATAAAGCATATATCTATGTACGTATATATAGTATTTAAGTTAACCGATGCCGACTAAAACTAAAGTTTATTTAGTTAATCATTTTTTGATTCTATTTTTATTACGCAATGTGTGTATACCTTATATTGTATATTTTAGTAGATAAATAGATTTTGTATAAGAAATATTTGAAATTCGCAAAATATCGACGACCCCAACCTTGGCAATCAGGTTTTAGAGAATAACGATGATAGGCTATAGTAGATAAATGGAAAATTTTTAAAACGTCATAAATACATGATTTTTGATAAAAACATGATTACAATCAATGGAATGTTTATTTTTCATAACAACAAGAACAAGTATGTATGTATATGTATATGTATATTATGTTCTTTTAAAATATTTTGTAATGTTAATGAATATTACATTACTTATGGTTGTTGAAATAATATCATATTTTAGAATATTGGAGAGCTCTTTGTCTGAAATTAGTGGAAAATAACCTCTATAGGAGTAAAACATGCCAGTTTACACGGCAACTTTTACATCAATAGTTGAAATACGTTCCATTGCCCTCGGCAAAATGATTTGTTGCCATCAAGAATGCCGAATATTTATTCATAGTCGTCATATAAACGGGTACAATAATATCAACAGGAAATCTTGAAATTGCAATATGAGAAACTCTTGACTAGGAAAGTTTTGTCATTATTTCTTATAGTATTTATGAAATAAATCAATTAATTATATTATCAAAATGGTTGATTAAACAAATTGTAATTTTCATACTATTGTGAAATTAAATACTTTTTCACACGGTTGTTTTGTACTCAAATTGGGTGGATGGTATTAAATTTGAATTTAATTTTGGATTCCGCTCCCGTTTAAAAATTTTATAGCAGGTTTAATATCCTTGTACTATAAAACAAGACAATAAATTTACATGTGTACATATTATGTAATTAATACAAACAACACTATTAAAATTTTTTTTAAGATCTGCTCACCGATCCTCCCCGCCTTTGTTTTGAACAAGCTTACATTCCTTTTTAAAACAATTAAAATTCTATCAACTTTAATTTAATTATTATTTAATTAGAACCGGATTTCAATAAGATTTACTTATGTATAAATACATAACAAGTATATGTGGATAATGTAATTATTGTTCTATTTATTATATATGTATATTACCAATATAATTTATTAAGTATATACCCACTTCACTTTAATTATTAATAATATTTAATTACAAATATCACCTAGCATTTAAATAATACCATTAGAGTAGGTATACCACAGTAATTTAAGTAATTAAAAAATTATTACGATATATAATACATATGTACATATGTGCTTCCAAAATCGAATCCGAAGAAGCAACATAAGGAAAATATATCAAATAATCTGCAGTATGATCATCGCTTTTAGAATTGTAATTCAAAACTAACACTTATACTTAATTATAAAATTTCCAAATTAAAATTGTAATTTTAGAACAAAATTCTTCACCCAAATTAAATTTGCTACATGAATATAATATTATATATATATGTATGTATGTACATAATTTGTATATTATTTGTACGTATAAAAGATATTAAGTAGACAATATAATAAAAAATTAATTTTTTTAGTAATAAATTAGGAATTTTGTCTATACTACTTCTTTTCTTTCCACATAATAAAAAAAAAATTTAAAATCGATGAAAGTTCAATGAATTTTTTTAAGGTCAACCAAATAAATATTTTATAGTTAAAGAAAAAACAATAACTATAATAAAGAAAATAAAAGCAAAACTTACATTTTTTATTACACTTATGAATAATATCAAAGCTCCAAAATTACTATCTTCGTGCTCTGCTTTCTTTATATTATATACGTAATGTATATGATTATATATTATTATTTTATATAATAAATATTTTCTTGAAGAAATTTCAATTTGTTATACATAGGTACCTATTAATTTCGACTGGTCATTTTGGTATTAGTCCGGTAACTTAATTTACACAATCAATTATTATGAAATTTAATTTTTAATTCAACATAATTTTTAAATAAAGTATGATGATTAACATTAAATTTCATAATTAAATTAAATATATTTACTTTAAAATTTGTTATACTAAGTATAATTTTGACTTCGAAATTACTTAAATTCGAAATATATGTTCGAAATTCTACAAAAAAAAATTACACTAATGATCATTTCAAAATTATTTAATTTTCAATTTTAAATTATCAATTGTATAACAGTAATTACATTCAGCTTATCACGGCTATAATTGGTCAAAGAAAAATTACTTTCAATTAATCACAAAATTTCAAAAAATTTTTTTTTATCTTTGAAAAATTTTTAATAACATTCACAATTAATTAAAAATTCAAAAGGTTAAAAAAGAATCCAAAAATTTACTAATAATTATTAATTATTATTAATGTTCCATATAAAGAATTTTTCGATTATAATATTATTAAAAAAAATAAAAAATTAAAAATTTAAATCCATAAATAAATTAAAAAAAACTAAATAAAAGAATCGACTCGAACAATATCGAAAAAATGGCCAAAAAAAAAAACTCTAATTAGAACCCGGAAAACAAACCAGATTTAATTTTCTAAAATGATTAAAATCTGTTTGAATAATTCTAAAACTCTATTTTAAATAAACAAACTACAATATGAGAAATCGTAAGCGCCGAACTATTATAAAAAGCGATTATTATAAGAGTAACCAAAAAAAAAATTAAAATATTCGAAATGAAATAAAAAAAATCAAAAAAAAAAAAAAAATAGAAAAAACAAATACCGCGTCTTAATTTTTTTTTTCCAAAACAGCAACACAAGAAAAAAAGTTCAAGTTATCTAATTCGCTTGCACGCTTATCTTTGAATGATCGCTTATAACATCGTGCCAAAAATAAGATCCGTGAACAAACAGAGAAATAAAAGAAAAAGTACAAAAAAAAAAAAACATAAAAACAAAAAATTGTACTGACAAAAGCAGGTTAGTGTAACCGCGATCGCGATGAATACTTTATTATTGTTATTTTTACCAATATAAATAGTTAACAGTTTCTTTTTACAAGCTTTCAAACTTTTAAATAAACTTAAACTTGTAAAAGCAACACTTTTAAAACCTAAATAAAAATATTTATTATTATTGTTTTATAAAATAAAAATAATGTAGAGCGAAAGGTAAAATTTTGAGTAGAATACGAATAACTCACTCAATATTTTTGAGTGAAATATTATTGAAATCATTGTTAGGGTTACCTACATGTTAGTGATTAAGTTATTTGAGTGCTTTTTTGTTTTATAAAAAGTACATTTTGTTTTTTCATATGAGACAATTGCTTTGATTTAGAAAATTTAAATATTGCTTATGTAACACTTAAAATAGTTAGTGCTAGATCTAGTCAGAACAAGAGTATAACATAACCTGGATCTAATGTTCTCGCTAGAATTTGAATAAGTAAATAGTAGCTTTCAATGTTTTAGACGGTCACCCACTTCTGTCATAGCTTAATATACATTTACGTTATATTAGAAATAACAGTAAAGTTTTTACTGTATTACTAACTGTTATACAAAAATGTATTCAAATTTTTCTATTTATTGATACAAATAACATGAAAATTAAAGTGAATAATTAACTTATTGAATAGTGAAGGTCTATTTGTGTATATCGCATTTTTTACTCACTTTTTATTAACTTTCAAATCAGGGTTCTTCGTTTTTCTAATGGATATTTTCAATAAAATTACTCATTTTTTTAACTAATTTTTGAATTTTAGAATAGGGCTCTACATAATAATAAGTATAAGTTTGCGATGCCGAAGTCAACGCTTAATCATAATAAGTGGGGATTCGGAATCGGAGCTAAAAATTAGACCAAGTTATGAGTGGGAGTCGAATTTAAAATTATAGAAAAACTGAATTCGGAATTGGAATCGCATTTTTTTTGTTTCCCGAATCTGTGGCTCTAATTTAAAATTCTAGTATATAAATGATTTTTTAGCTGCACAGAATTTTTGCATTTTTACACAAAAGAAATTTTCAAAACTAAATAATGGAAAATTGATGAATAAATAAATTTTCATACTTTATCGTGTATACTAAAATAGTAATTTCATACATTTTCATTTGGCAATCCTTTATACTACATAATGGTCACATATGTACTAAACTGTAGAGAATTAATATACTGACTAACAAAATATTAAGAAACAGAAAACTTCAAATAAAGTTTTTTGAACTTAATTTTGAAAAAAAAAAGTTTTTATATTCAACTCACATATGTACCCAGCCACATACATACACATTAAGTACATACTATAAAATGTTCTAAAAATATTTTTGAAATCAAAGAAAGAATACACAATATTTTTTTATTATAATAAAACCATAAAAACTAGTTTAAAAAATAAATAAAAAAAAAAAAGAAAATTATGGGAGCTGATGGACAAACAAAAGAGAACAAAGCATACCCGTGTTGTAGATTTTTTGATTATAAGAATGGTGGACATGGTAACGAATTAAAAAAAAAAAGAAATAAATATTTCAAAACAGTTATTTATTATGCAAAATTATAATGTCAAAGCTTTTTAAAATTTAAATATTAATGATATTTATGTCAACATACTGTAAATACTTAATATGATTAAAATATAACAATTACGAAATATAATAATAACAGTATTCTGTAAGAATAATAAGGCTAACACATTATAATAAAATTAGTGGTAATCGCAATTTTTTAGAAGAGCGAATTAAAACGGATCTGTAAAAAAAGAATGAAACTTTTATATGTGTGTGTGCAAATTAACGTAAACGCTTAGTAAAAGAAAGTGTTTAACAAAGGGAAGTTGCACTTTGATCATAATGATGTGAAGCGAATAATACAAAGCTTGTAATATAAATATAAAAATTCTTTGTGTTGACAACAATGAAATTGACGAAACAGAACGCTTTGGTATAGTTACACGCCATTTATTAATAATTTCTAATGAATCACCCCTTATCAAATTGGGCATAATTTTTAAAGTATGCCTGATTTGTATTCAAAAATTCTTAATTCCATCTAAATCGCAATGTAGAAATTAATAAAATTTTCAATGAAAATGGTCTTGAATTCTTATATGTAGTTTTATTATGATATTGGAATTCTTAAATGAAGATGTCCCAGGAACCCTATTAATAAATGCATCCGAAGCACCCGAGTACCCACGAGAGCATGAAATTCCTCAGAATAATTTTGAATATTTGCACAAATAAAGAAATTTACAATGTTTTCAAATAGATAATTTAAAACTCATATACATAATGTATGTATGTAGATAGGTATTAATAAATTTTTTTAAATATAACACTTAAAATAATTTGCAAATAAAAAAAATTCTATAATATTATAAAGTAGAAAATAAATATAAAATAATTTTACAGTTTAAGAACATAATATAGAATATGTGGGCGTTTTATATTAAATTGTGTGTATTTTTCTATATAATAAACAATAAATTTTCAAAGATTTATTCTCTATATATTATGTATAGTAAATTACAGATTAAATTACAAACAATATTATATGCGATATATCATAATTATCATGCATATACATACAAACCAACATCATAATTACTACACGTAGGTATTTTAAATTAAACAGTAATTAAGTACCTACAAAATGAAACCCTTAATTTCAAAATGGAGTAAGTCACTTTTTCGTTTATATGAAAAGTTAAGCAGAAAAAGAGGTAGAACTTGCTTTAATAATATTTAGATAATTTTGTGTTAAGATAAAATTTTCTTTACCAATTTCCTTACATACAATATTTTACAATATAACATATTTGAGAATATCCGAGGGAAGGCTGTGAGACTTATAGCATTGTTGGTAAATTAAAATGGATTCGTGATGCGATGGTTCTTATTTTTTTAATTGAACATGTACAAAGATATAATGAATTTACTTAACTACTTATACCCTGAAAAATTCATCAGTTAGATGAAATTATTCCTATATTAGTAACGAACTGTTTTCGGTACTTCTTAAACATGACCTATTGAAACGCGATGACCTTTTAATGTGTAGTTTCCAGTAAATTTAATGAACAACCCTTAAACATACTGGAAAGTTGGCCTCATTATTCTTAAACATACCTGAAAGCGCAAACCTCAAGTAAATCATTTTTAAAAACAAAAGTTACTTATACCTTTTTCGAAATAAACTACCACATTATGTTTGGGATATAAATTGTTATTATTTATCATAAAAAGAAAATTTTATTTATTGTTCCCTTTTTAGTTTTCTATAATATGTAAGGTTTCAATACTGAATACAAAATGAAAAATTAAAATATAGAGAGAAAACAAACCAACTAAATTTAATATTGTTATCAAATAAAGTGCTAAATTATAATTAACTGAGAGATACAATAAGTTTTTGAATTGCTTTTTAAGGTCGAACATTTAATTAAAAAAAAACTGAAATAAGTTTCATATTATACTGTTCAAAGGGTACAATATTAAGTATATTCCACTTTATTATAGGACAGATAATATAGGCCCTATATTCTAGAGCCTCTATATTTATATTGAATTGTGCAAATTGATTAAGCATTTTATTTCAAATTCGTTGCAATAAAACAAAATAAATTGGAAGAACCTCCATACTTTAATTATAGAAATTTTGGTTCGTAAACTACAGTTAAAGTCAATTACAGCCAAGTTCAGTCAATTTTGTAATACAAGCAAATATTATTGTTCTATTGCATTCTACATTTTTTCTTCATTCTACATTTGTTCTTACACAAATTATTAAAATTATTTTTATCATTTTTAAAATATTTTAGAAGAAATATTGCTATACTAATAATGCAACATCCCACCAATACTAGAGTGGTTATGGTACCGGTCTAATAACCGAATGAACTCAGGTTCAAATTCTGATCAGGTCGCTATAATAATAATTATATTTAATATATTATTCAAGCTTAATAAATAATATTACAAAAAGAAGTATTAAGCTGGTCACTGACTAATTAACTTCAATAACCTGTAAAACTGATACTTGACTCTAACGAAAAAAAAAACTATGCCGACATTAAAAATTAATCTGACATTATAAACAAAATTTCAAAATTATTATAAACTACAAATTTTAATTTGAAAAAAAAAAACTATGGAATTCTACACGAGTATTAGTATTACTTAATAAAATTTATTATAATTATTAATTTATTTCAGTATATATACTTTATTATCATTATTATTATTGCCAGTTTTTATTACTTTTACCTATGGTTATAATATGGCGATAGTAAAATCATATGAAATATTTAATTTTATTAGTGGCATACCACTAAATATGTACTTATGTTTGTATAGTGGAGGATGGTAAAAATTATGATTTTATATTATTTTTCAAGTGTTATTTCTATATTTACTTATTTCATATTATATAATATTATATAAATATATAAGAATTTTAATTTGTTAGTTTTACTTATGAGAGTAGGTCTATGAAAAATAAAAGAAAACACTGTTATGCAATTTATTTTCGTAAAATATTTTTTTTTTATTTGCAAAAAATTTTAATTTAATAATTATATATTAATTCATAGAATTTAATTAGAGTTTAATTTATAATACAAATTTATATTTTAATATCTAAATTGTATAAGTGAAATTGTTTTAAAATTAGTAATTTACAATTATGTAATTAGTTATCATCTGATCATAAAGGAGTTGGAAATTCATAAACTAGAGGAAATCACAGCATGAAAAATATAGAAAGAAAAACCCAAATTTCTATGTGCATACATACAAATAAATTGTATGCATAATATTTGAAAAAATTCTTGTCATAATTAAAATATTGAATTTCTAAATCCTAATTTCCTGAATAATATGCCTT